GCAGAGGCAGAGGTTCCTACCCACAACCCCCAAAAAAAAAAAAAAGCAGGCAACAAAAATATTTATTTGATCTGATCTTAAGCAAAATGTTATTTTTTTTGTCTTTGTTGTAACTATTTTTAGTAGGAACTTCTGTTGCTGTCGTTGAACACGAAGGACCAATGATTAACCATGAATCTTCAATGGCACAAATTTCATCACCTCAACAAACTGACTCAACCCAGGTGGTCCTGCAACTACCCTGTATAGGAATGGACAGCACTTCTCAGCTCGCCCAGACCCATCTACCTGTCTTAAATCATTCCTTGGTTATTTCACTTAAGGATGCTCTCAGGGAGGATTTTAAAGAGGAGAATGAATTTTGTCAAATGACAACAGAAATGGGCGCATCAGAAGAGCTCACATCTGCACAACAGTTGGTCCCTGAAGAGTATTGCCTGGACAAGACATTACTTCATGAGCAAACTGACGTTACTGGGAAACAATGTGAAAATGATCCCGCTTGTACAAATAACCAGTTGGCAGAGTCTGCACTGATCAGAAAAGAGGTAGCTTGTGAAGAATTAAAAGCTAACGTACCAGATGTTGACACTAATCCCAAGCCTGATCCACCTCCACGCCGTAAAAGAGGGCGCCCGCCCAAAAAAAGAAGACAAAAACGAATTTCTGCATCAACTGCTGTGGTTCCAAAGGAGATGGGTATTCAGGCTGCAGTAAATACCTCTACATCAAACCCCTCAGAAGCATCTGCTACTGGGGTTTTAGAGACTTTATCTATTGTCTCTCCACCAGTTAAAGAAAGAGCAAGCACTTCTGTGAAAGAGAAGCAAATCGAAGCAGGTTCTTCTACTCTTTCAACTGAAAATTTAAGTACTGTGGTTTCACCTGAAAAGCAACCGCCACTTAAATCTTCACAACTTAACATTGAAGTGGAAAAGAAGGAAAATCAGGTTCAGTTATTTAGAGATGTATCAGCAAACAAAACGCCAAATTCTCCACAAAGTGAGTCGCCACAAGCACCTTTGCGTCTGCTCAAAGAACGAAGGACATCTGTAAGTCTTCAAGATGCAATGCTGCTCATTGAAGCCATGAATCAGTCGACCATGGAAAATACAATCCCCCTAACACAAATCACGACACAGCCTCAGACACATTCTACTCCCCTTGCAGATCCTTCGGAGTCCCCAGCAACCCAACAGACACCTTTTCTTGAAACTCAACCCACAACAGATATACTTGATAATGTCTCTTCAAACATGACAGCTAATGGTTTATCAAATGACACAATGCTTTGTAATAAAGAAATTCCTAATCGTACACAAAGTTCGCCCACTTACCTTAGGAATACTACACTGGTATCATCTGTATCATCAGCTTCTCCAATTGATACTGTTGTACAGTCACTTCCACTTCCTCTGGTCAATGTGGGACCACCCGCTCAGGTACCTCGTACTATTATTATTCTCCCAAGACCTGCTTTGTCTTATATTTCTCATAATACTGTAGAAGTGTCTGAAAGCCAGCCCTCTACTGTTGATTCAGCTGCTTCCCAAAATATTTGCACACCTCCACTGTCTCAAGGTCTGGAATTATTTTGTGAAAAATCTTCCCATTCTTCTAGTCGTCCAAAAGCAATCAAGGTCACCTACAGAAAACTAGACCCTGTCTCACCTTTACAGGCATCCACCATTTTAACTGATCATCAGTATGTGATTCCCCCATGCAAAAAAATAACTTTTGTTCCAAAAATGATTCGACAAGTGACTGGGCCTGTATTTCTTAAAGTAAAGCAGAACATTGCTGAGCAAAAAGCTCCTGTTGATACCCCTGAACCGAAAGCCCTAGTAGATACCCCTGAACTGGAAGCCCTGATTAATACCCCTGAACCCGAAGCCCTTGTTGATACCCCTGAACCGGAAGCCCTGATTAATACCCCTGAACCGGAAGCCTGGATTAATACCCCTGAACCGGAAGCCCTCGTTACTACCCCTGAACCGGAAGCCCTCGTTACTACCCCTGAACCGGAAGCCCCTGTTCATACCCCTGAACCAGAAGTCCCTGTTCATACCCCTGAAC